TTATTTATAATATATTAATCCAGTTTTCGTTTATTTTAAGACTTAAGTTTTTATTTATACTGTCTTTACTTTTCATGATTTCTATGGTTTCTTTAAACTTTCTGTTGTACGTTAATTTTTCTTTATGCAGTATTTCTACGTTATCTTTATCTATATTACAGTTGTTTATAGTACAATGTTCGTAAAATGCAGAATTTATTCTATTGTATTTAAGATCTGCTATGTGTTCTTTCAGTCTAGTTTTTACTTTTCTTTTTGTTTCTCCTATGTAATGTTTTTTGTTTGCGCAGGTACACGGAATTTTGTATACTACACCTTGGTTTTCGATCGGTATTTGCTGGTTTTTCTTCTGGTTCGTGGTTAACAGTCTGCTTTCCATTTTTTGATATGATGGTGCTAATTTGTAGTTTATTTTTTCTATTTCTGCACTGATTTGTTCATATAAACCTCTAATATATGGAAAGTTAATATATTTTGTTTTAGTTGCTTGTTTATCTTTATTTTTACATAGGTTTCTGGGGTCTTTAATTCTGGTTTCCCATTGTTTTAGTAATCTTTGCGGAAATCCTGCTAAAAGAAACTTCTTCCTTAATTCAATTAGATCTTCGTTTATATGTGCTTCTTGGCTTGTCCGGTTTATGATTTTGTCGTATTCCATTTTATATATATTATATTTAATGTATGATGGAATTTTTGATTGATATCTTGTTGTTACTTGGTTAGAGCTCGGTTTCTTGAATGTTCTATATTCCAGATGATGTTTTAATCTTGTTATTGTAATATCTAGGTAGTTAATGCTTTGTCTTGTTATATCTTCGGTCTGAAGAGGGGCAAAGCCCGAAACGAGTACTAAACAATGTACCGTATCAACTAATAAAGGAATTTGATGGAAATTTTGAAATTTGCCATGTGTCTTTGGAATAAAACACAATACTAGTGTTTACTACGCCACAAAATTAATAAATAATATAAAATAAATATTGAAAATTATAACAAAATAGTTACGGCTAATAGATATATTTAAATTAATAGATGTTATATGTTTTTATCAAAGCAAGAATCGGCAGTTAGAGGGCATAGGGAATCTATTGAATCTAATAACAGAGATAATTATATTAAACTTGTTTATTTATAAATTATGTCAGATAAATAATCTATTAAAAATACATTTAAAGAATTAACTGATTGTCCCTGGAAGTCGGCTTCTTAAGAAACACAGCTTCCCTATCATCAAATATCACGGCACACCACTGTAGTATAGAGAACTGGTTTAAACATTTTAATAGTTTGGAATTAGAAAAAAGAAAAAATATATATATAAAATGGACATTAAGAAAGAAGAAGGCATTATAAATGAAATAGAAAGGAAACAGCTAATATGGCTTGTTCATATAACTCAAATAACAGAGAAGAAGTGACCAAAAAAAATCCTAGATTGGAATCCACAAGAAAAAAGATGGTGTGATAGGCCAAAACAAAGTTGGAGGAACAAAGTAGATGAAGGAATTTCAGTAAGAAGCCTTAAACCAAAAATATGAAGAGAGATAGAAATGGAAGTTAGACACAGAGAGTAAGTATCAACTATAGAATATCTGCTATATAAATTGGATCTCAACCATTCATATTTTGCATGGACAATTAGCTTTTTGAGAGTGATGTTCATATATTGTTTGAGAGTTCAGAATTTGTCCACTTTTATGCTAATGTTTCCAATTATTTATCTTTAAAATTGTCTCACTTTACATTCTGTTTTAATATAAAAAAGAAACATGTTTTTCAAATTATTTGAGGAAGTTGGATCATTTTTTGAAGAATATAATATCTTTTTCAATGAACATTGAATGTTTTTGAGAGCTTTAAAGCTAAAAGTTTTGCAATGTGTTTTATAGCAAAATTTTTGCTACAAATTATATAAAATGATAGAGGATTGCCAACACCATTATATGAAAATTATATTTTAAAAATTTTGCAACACATTTCTTTTTTTACAATTTTTTTTAATAATTTGTTTTATATATGCATAATTAACTCTCATATATTAGAATGACATTGTTAAAAATAAACACATACAAATCTACTAACCCCTTTTTTGTTAATTATGTTCAACAATCGAGTGTTGTCTATATTTTTTCTTTGGCTGTCAAAGAACAATAATACAGACATTTTAAAATAGTTTTTTAAGAAAAGGAATAATGTTTATGAAAATAAACTGTTAAATAAGATTATCATTTCTGTATGTCTTGCACTAGAAAATCCCATCAAAATTATCAAAGCCACCAAATTTCAATTAAAATTTTGGCTATGATACTAGCTCTTATAAAAATTACAGGCTGAAAGTTCTGATAAATTATTTATATATTTTGGTATACTTATTTTTGTTATTTATATTGTAACAAGCATCTTTCTATTAAAGCCTTAATGTCATTTATATATTAGATAATTGGGAACTACATAAATACAAGTTAAAAAATCATAATTATTTTTAAAAAATATATAAAATTTGAGAAGTAAGATAATATATACTTTTTTAGCATGTTATTATTAAATAATAGAATAGATTTTATAATTACCATTGAAATCCTTAATTCTGTAATAAATTTCTTCTTTTTCTACAACACAGTTTGCTCCAGATGACTGTTTACTTTTTGATGGTTGCAATTCTACTTTAAAAGGAGGGTCATTCTCAGACAGATTTTCATTTGACATGCAAACTTTACATTTACCCTCTTCGGAAACTGATATCTTGTGATTTTTATCTTTTCCTGAAAATTCAGATCTAAATGGTATTTTACGTTCAGTAAAAAGAGAGAGAATATTAAGTGTTGGAATTAAAGTACACTTTGTTATTGGAGAAGAATTATGTTTATTTATATTTTCCCAATGTTTCTGTAAAAATTCCAATTTCTTTTGTGATGGAGACGATTGAAGTAATGCTGGATTTGAAGTACTACTATTATTTTTTTGTTCGGAGTTATTATTTTTATGGAATTCAGTTGTCATTTCTGAGATTATATCATTATTAAATGATATATTTACTTCAGTTTCTTTGGGTTTATTTTCAATATTATAATTTTGAAAGTTGCCTTTAGATACATTTTCTTTTCTAATTTTTCTTTGCTCTTTTAGTATCTGTCTGTAATTTCTTGAAGGAGATGTTGAATTAATAGNAAAAATGTCATCCACATATCTGACGAAATGTATGACATCTTCCTTAAAATTTCGTAGAACTTCCCTTTCTAATCTTCTAACTACTAACTCGCAAAGAATTCCAGAGAGGGGACTTCCCATCGGAACCCCTCTTTTCTGCCTGTAAATTCGATTTCTGCCTGTAAATTCGACCACAAAAGGTAAAACAAGATTGATAACATACCAGGCTAGCGAGTTCCTCTAGGTCTTGGGTGTAACTAAGCAACTGAGGGTTGTTGTTGTACATGAAATCCAATAATGCCTCCACACATGATTCAATCCTTACTGAAGGATACATACTTTCATAATCCAAAACGGTCGCCACTTCGTCTTCCATTAAAGAAATATTTTGCATTTCCTTCACTACGACAAGAGGATCTTTTGCCACCAGTCTATCGTCTTCTATCTGTGAGGATAAATATTCATGTAGCCTTTTTTCTAAGATAAAGGTGGGCCCCCTACACTTCTCTACCACTGGTCTTAATTCATTTCCAGTTTTGTGCGTCTTAGCAAACGCAAACAATCTTGGAGCTCCTGAACTTGGATTGTGACATTTCTTCAGAAAAGGCAAAACGGCAGCGAGACTTGAGCGTTCTAACTTCTTGACCCTTCTGTCCAGAGATCCAATTATTTTGTCGTCAACTATTTCACATTCAGTCTTCCTGATGTAAGCATGTAATTCCTTGTCAAACGTATGTCTCTTCATGACAACTAAATGTTTAGTTTTGTCTGCTTTGGTCATCACCAGATCATTCGTTCTTAACCACTCCTTCGTAAGCCATATGTCTCTATTGCTAATACCAGTTGCTTTTTTCTTTGGCCGGTTAATGATGACAGTCCTCCATCTAAAGAATTCCTTATCTAAAGGATCCATGCCAACTATCCCTCTCTCAATCTCCTGTATGGAGGTTTCCCAACTATTCACCACATCTGGGACAAAGTTAGGGCCTTTCTCAAGCACTTCTTTGATTTTCTTTGGTATTTCTATCTGGTCCCATACTTGGAAGGTATTAGGGCTCTCTTTATTCAATCTTTTCACTTGTTTACTAATAATCCATTTCAATTTTTTCACATAACGTTTAGTGGAATTCTTCCTGACTGCTTCTGCCAAATCCACAACCCTATTATTGATATGAGTTAGTTTATTCGGATCATCTTTGTACACGGTATCCTCTAGACAAATAAGTTCATTTAAGACCCCATACTTCCTGTTCTTTGTTATTCTAATAGATTTCTTGAGGCATGCTAAACGGAACTTAACTATAAGCGAACGGCATTCCGTAGGGATGCTAATTTGATAGATCGACATGGGATAGACTTTGTTCTTTAAACATTCTCTTAAAAAGTCTAACTTACAACTCGCTTTAATCATCTTTAACACCAACTTCCTGTATATCTTGTACGTTTTTACCGGTGCCGCCATAACTATAACCTTAAACGTGCTCAGCAAGTAAACATATATATTAGAACACCTTAATTTTGCTGAGAATTATATATTTTAAACACAAACGCTTTCAACCTGATTAACAGGCCATCTTCAGGTCCAAAAAACGAAAATGGAACAGATACGTTCCATGTATAGAATATACATATTTAAATCAAAATTTAGAACAAAAATTTTAAAAAATATACAAGAGAAACGGAATAAAATATAAAAATAACACAAAATAAAATTAAAATATACAAGAGAATATATAAAAATAACACCAAATAAACTAAAAAATAAAAAATATATAATAAATATAATAAATCTTCCAATAAACTAATTCTAGCTTGAGTTTTCAGTGAACTTTTTAATCATGTATTTCCACGCCGACGACAGGCTCTCAGCATCTCTCGCATTTAAACATCCCTCACGTAGCCTACTCCTATATATTTCAATCTTCTCCGCCGTCATTGATAAAGTGGGGGAAGACACTGGTTTTATAATCGTTGCCTCGTCCCATTTCACCACCGAACCTTGGACTTGCGACATTTGTGACAAAACCGTGGCATTGGATCCTTTTTTTACGTTATACCGATGTTCTTTTAGTCTTACTCCTAAGTCCTTATTTAAATTTTGATTTAAATATGTATATTCTATACATGGAACGTATCTGTTCCATTTTCGTTTTTTGGACCTGAAGATGGCCTGTTAATCAGGTTGAAAGCGTTTGTGTTTAAAATATATAATTCTCAGCAAAATTAAGGTGTTCTAATATATATGTTTACTTGCTGAGCACGTTTAAGGTGATATATGTAGCTTAAATTTTTTATGAAGCATTGTATATTTCATCTTTTATTCTGAAGGATAGTGTAGAAAAATGCTAATTTCTATTTAAATTATAAATATTGCAAACAGATGATTTTTAATATCAGGCATCATATCCACAAAATCAAATGTCCACATAACAAATGGTTTCCAGAAAACACACAGAATTTGCTACATAGAAAATTCATTAAATAAAAAATGCATCAACAGTGAATATAGAAAAAGATGTGTTTTCAATATTCCACAAAAAATTCCACTGTAAAGAAAACTGTACATGTATAGGACTTTGCAATATGGAAGTCAAACTGTATGTATGTCATTTATTTTGATTAAGCTCAATTAAAATAATATAAATATTATGTAAAGTATATTTAATATATTATCACTATATATTCTTCACTAGGAGTCACCAAACACTTTTCACAGCATGCCAGATAACTGAGAGAATGATGAGTGCAAGCTGCATAACCATTTTGTTCAATATAGTATACTGAATACACAAAAAATAAAAAAAACAACATATTTATTTTACCAATACACAAACATGATTGCTGCAGCAAGCTCATAATCACTTTTCTTAGAAACTTCATTGAATGCAAAAAGTGCTCTGATATCCAAAGTCACAAAAAAGTCACCAAATTTTTCATTTCACTGATTTTCCTAAAAATTATATTATTGTCAATGCAAAAATCAAATTAAGACCAATTTTGGCATTTTTACTTACACTTATTTTAATTTTTTCTACATAGTAAGTTCATCTACAATCTATGATATTTCCATATAAATAATTATATTTTATAATTAGCTCATTTGTGGCACAGTACAGCAGAGGGCCAGATGAATTGGCCTGCGGGCTGTAGTTTGGTGGCCCCTGTTCTAAACTACTAAATATAGCTAGTTTCACTGCAGATAGAAACTGAATATGACAAAAAAACTGACAACCATTTACACACAAAAAATGTAAATTAGAAAATTAGAGAACATTACAGGTATAATGTAACATTTTAGTTAAACTAAAATGGCGTAACATCCAAACATTTCAATACATTGATTGCTGCAAATATACAGTAATAGCCAAAAGTAGAGCTACCCTTGACATATGTTTTAGAAATGAGACCTCTATTTTGTTCACCACCTACTAGATAATTAATATTGTAATAGTTGAAAAAAGCACAAAAAAAGTGAAATACTCAATTAACTCAAACTGATTTTACTTTAAATCTGATTTACAAAAGAAAAAACAAAGTTTTTATATTTTACACTGTGGACAAAAGTAGAGCTATCAAAGGAAGTATGCAGATTTTTCCAGTATTTTTAGGACAAAATATTAGTGTGAGGTTTGCCGATTGGGGAGAAAGTGTCATGACAATCGAGCGGTCAGCACTGTCGCGTGGGAGTGGAAAACTTACTGAGACTGGTCCTCCATTGCAAATTGTTTATTAAATATAAAAATTTCGCTTACAACTACTGTTTTATTTCAACGATCTTTTCTTCCTCTGGTGAATATGATGAGGAAAATGTAGGTTCCAGGGCGCACAGCACAACTTGAAGGAGTGACTCTCGTAGCAGGATACACTTGGCAAAACTTGCCGGGACGGGATGGCGAAAATCTTCTTCCGGAACAACGACCAAGTTTCCATTGTTGAACAGCAGGAAAAATCCAGGAGCAGAGTACACCAAACTAAGAACCAAGAACGTCACATCCTTTTTTTGCAAGGTTTTTATAAGTTTTTTCTGGGTCCCAGATCAAACATTACGATAGGTCAATGTCGACTTGCCTCCCTTTCTGGTTGGTTATTCACTCGTTACGAAACATAACAAGATCAGAACCCAGACCGACTGACAATTTGATTTTTATTGAAGATGTTTGATCTTAAGACTTACATTCACCCATTGTTTTAACCTGAGTAGTTTGACTTTCTTAGTAAGTTTTTCCACTCCCATGCAACAGTGCCGACCATTTGATTGTCGTGACACTTTCTCCCCAATCGGCAAACCTCACATGAGTATTTTGTGGCATAACCAGAGCTTCTAATCACTGCATCACATCTATGTTCCATTGAATCACATAACCAAGCAGTGATTTGGGAGTCTCATACCATCTTTATGAATGGTAGACCACAATTCATCCCTATCTGAATATGCATGCTGGCATATACAGCACTCAACTTCATCCCAAAGATTCTCTATGGGGTTTAGGTCTGGTGATTGGGCTGGCCATGCCATAAGATTCACTCTTTTCTGTTAAAACCATTGATTTACCAAATTTGCTGTGTTTTGGGTCATTGTGCTGTTGAAAGATTCATTTCCTTGGCATTGAACGCATGAGGAAGCATTTGATTCTGTAATATGTCCTGATAAATGGTTTGATCCATTATTCCAATAATTCTATGAATTGGACCAATTCTCTTTGCAGAGAAACATCCCCATACCATTATGCAGCTTTATTATAGGAACCATGCTTTATTATAGGAACTATGTATTTTGGGTCATATCTCATGTTCACTGGTTGTCTGACATATCATATATCATCACTAGAGAAGACATTGAGTTTAGATTCATAACTCCATAACACCTTGGACCATTTTTGTTCAGTCCAAGTGATGTGTTCATGTGCAAACTCTAATCTCAATTTTTTGTTTTTTGCAGAGATGAGTGGTTTCTTTGCTGGTCATCTCCCATGTAATCCAAAACTAGTCAAACGTCTTCGTACAGTCCTTATGATTATATCTGGGTTACCCACTTCAGGTTTAATATGTGAAACAGTCAAAAAAGGGTTGGCTGCACTCGTACGCCTGATCAAAACAATCCAACTGTGGTGTTGTTTTTTGTGGTCTACCTGACTTTTTGGCAAAAACAATGGTCCCATATATTTCAAAACACTTCACCACTTTTGCAACAACAGTTTTATGCACATTAAAGATTTTAACAATTTCAGTAAAGGTCTTTTTTTCCTTCAAATGCATATCTACCATTGTTTGATATCATTTGATAATTGTATTCCTCCAGACAACTTAGTTGATTCAATGGAATGTAAATGTGATGCAGTGATCAGAAGCTCTGGTTATGTCACAAAATCCTAATATTTTGTCCTAAAAATACTGGATAAATCTGTGTAATTCCTTTGGTAGCTCTAGTTTTGTCACAGGATAAAATATAAAAATTTTGTTTTTCTTTTGTAAATCAGTTTTAAAATAAAATCAGCTTGAGTTAATTGAGTATTTTGACTCTTTTTTTTTGTGCTCTTTTCAACTACCACGATATTAATTATGTAGTAGGTAGTAAACAAAACAGAGGTTGCATTTTAAAACATATATCAAGGGTTGCTCAACTTTTGGCCACTACTGTACAAGATATTGAGGCATAAAGCAATTTTAACCAGTCAATGAAATAAATAGCATAAACTAAAGGCTAAGTAAAATTTTAATCATTATCATTACTAACATAAATAATGATGATATAACTCAGCATATAAAATCTAAAATTTGCATTTGAGAAACCATACTTATATTTACCTATCATTGTATCCCATACTCCAACTATAGGATTTATTATCTTTGGCTTGCTTTTTCTGAGCTTTATCAGATTCAAGATCATTATACACCCAATTTCGAATTCCATTCATTGTTTTGTAAGATGTACCATTAAGTCGAGAAACTGGATTGTGTCCAGTCGCATCTAATATAGATACTGCCAAAGCTCTTCCAACCTGCTAAATTTAAATGTTAACATAAATTAAATTACTTAATCATTAAATTTCATATTTCTAAAATGTTATTAAATTTCATTATTAATTTCTTAATATATAATATTGTTGTTGTGCAAGTGGGAGCCAGCAGGCCAAATGCACCTCAACCTAAATGGTCCATTAATACATAATATAATGATATCCCACCTGTTGATAGACGGTTGGACTATAATATGGAATGGCTTTTCCAGGTAATGGAGGTGTTAAAATTCCATCACTTCCTTCTATTTTAGCCAAGTTATTAATTGATCTTCCAGTATTATAATTACATTCCAATGTGTAACTAAATAAAACGTTAAAATAGTATTAAATTTCATGTTATTATATTTAATGATAAATAATTCTAACAAATATTAAAATGGAAAGTGTTCATACAATTTTCTTATCATAATCAATATTTTAAATAATAAACAAGATCTTTTATTAAAATATGATGATTTCTCTATATATCTAGTATTTAAATAAAAATTATAATATGAAAATAGCATCTTCATCAGCAAAAGCAAGCCAATTCAGTTCATCACTGTTCTCTGGCTTCATGAGATCAAAAAACTTTTTACTCATTTTTATTTATCACTAGTTGACAGAAAAATACAAATAAAGACACTTGTATACAATATTAAAGATGGCACATCACAAGAACACATTGTAACTGAAAGATTTTGTGTACCGCAAAATACCTACTGATTTAGTCACACTACATCTAGCAGGTACAAACCCAGACAACTAAAATTTCACCTAAAAACAGGGCCATAAACTTAAAAGCCACCAATGTAGGTTTAGTGGCACTTCACAATACATTAGTTGAGAACTATCCAACTGTTATTCATTTCTGAGAAATTTGCATAAAATTAAGCCTTGCACCTGTCAGATGAATGCACAATTAACAAATATCTTTATTCTTTCAGATAATTTTCAAGTACTCATTGAATAAAAAAAAAAATGAGTAGCTACTGAAGTAAATGTAGAATTTTGAGAACCTGCTTCAGGCAGGAGTGTATTTACAAAACATTATATAGGGTTCCAAAAAGTTACTGTGCAGTGAAAAGAGTTGAAGTAAAGTTTTATGTACAGTATTGCAATTTCTCCCACAGCAAATACTGGAAATGTCCACCAGAGATCCAACATCCAAGGGAGTGAGATCCAGAGACCTAGCAGATCATATTCCATAGAAAAATATGTGATCTGCAAAGAAATCTTCTAAAAACTGTAGTCCAAAAACCAGAACATCTGTAAGCAAGCAGTAATGTCTGCTACTACAAAGTGGAAATGCAGGATACACAACTTACAGGTGTCATATACGAAGCCATACACATAACTTTAATGTCATTACAAATTTCTCACTGCACAGTAACTTTTTGGATACCTTGTATATTCATTAAAGAGTATATTAAATATTTCTCTTTATCACAACTACAAATCTGAATTTCCATATATCTATTGTAAGTTTGTTACATATTAGTTGCTATATACTGTAATTCATAACATAGTTCATTTAAAATAAAATTTTTAATAAATAAAATAAATTATCTTTTTTTATTGGAATTGATCATCTANGTTAAATTAATATAAATTTTCATAAGTTTATAATTCTAAAATTTTTGCATATGCAGCATATTATCATTTAGAGAACGAGTGTATCTAATTATTATTTTATTATCTTTCTGTATTGTTAAAATAAATGAAGATTAAAAACCATAACTGAATATTTAAAAGTTAATGTATAAAAAAATTTAATGCACACAGAAACTAAAATCACAATGATAAAGAATCATAGAAACATACTAACTTTATTTTCATGCACACATGTTTGCCATTATTTATGTATTTTTGAAAAAAATTTTGAAATGAATCATCATAAGATAATTATTATTTATATTTACACATCTAATTTGTATAGAATATACAGGGTCTTCTAAAAATAATGCTACCATTTTAAATTATTGAAAGTATGTATTGTGCATCAATCAATAGAGTAACTGAATTTCATCTACCATCTGATTATACAAATGTCATTTTGTCTACTACCTCTATAATGCACCATAAACAAAAATGGTAACTCTGAACACAGAAAAAGCATTTGCGTTCTGCTTTACGCAAAGTTGGACTCGGTCATCACTGTGCAACACAATTTTTTATGATTTTTTTTTACATTTCACAGACAATTCAAAGTGATCCACCATGTAAGTCAAACATTCTTGTTGCACAATGATAACTGATTCCAAATTTCCAGACTGCAGTACACAAAACTTTCTCTGTTGCAAAGTTGCCATTTTTGTTTATGGCACTTCCAAGAGGCAGTACACAAAACATTTGTATGCAGATGATAGATGAAACTCAAACTGTTACTTTAGTGATTGGTGTACAATACATACTTCTTAGGTAATAATTGACATAATTACAATAATTTAAAATTGTAACATTCTTTCTGGAAGAACCTGTATTTTAAAATGGAAAATATTCAATAAATTTACTTTTCACTTATTCTGGTATTCATATGATAGATGAAACTCAAACTGTTACTTTAGTGATTGGTGTACAATACATACTTCTTAGGTAATAATTAATATAATTACAATAATTTAAAATTGTAGCATTCTTGTAAGAAGATCCTGTATGTACGAAGTGCCTGCAATCCAAACAAGTATAGATAGTGAAGACGAAATAAAGTGAAAAGTAAATAGAATCATTACGGTGCATTGTACCCGCTCTCAGAATCAACACTGGAAATTCGATTCGCATAAAAAAATCTGGATAAAAATATGATCCATTAAAGCGAGACGGGATAAGAGGAAGTCTTCTTTATCGGTTTATCTATAATACATATGTAACAATTGGAAATTTATTTTTTAAGTAATGACATTTTCTAAAATTTTCAAGTTCATCACAAATCTTAATTTTTTTTTTTAGTTGATTCCAAAGCATACGAAACTGGGTAAATATGTTTATCAAGTGATTTTCGATGACTGTCGAAAAATAAGCTTTTGTGTTATTTTATTTCCAAATACTTTTGTTGTAATTTGTAAAAATAATTCTGTCAAATTTTAATTCTAAAGGTTATGAAAACAATATTAGAATTATATACTTATAGTATTATTTTTGTCTCTCGAGATATTGAACTTTGTCGGTCGATATTNTTTTTAAATAAACAATATTTAAATAATTGCTTTGATTGTTTGATCATAAACTGATCAACAGTGATAAAAATCACAAAAATTATCTTATAAATCAACATTAATGCATTAAAATAGCAAACAGAAATATCAGCTGACAGATACTTTATCATATAGTCATAAATCTTTCTTTTGAAAGATAAGTCTGAAAAGAGTATTCAGGTTTTCTTCTAAGTTATGAATCGAATTAGAATTAAATTTAATTCTTAAGGAAAAACTAATACTCTGTTGATATTTCTTAATAACTGAATAAAGAATAAGAAATGCTAATTTCTATTCATATCACTCATTTGATTCATTCTGTTTCTGTTATTCTGTTCTTTTTTAAAATTCCTCAAGTTTCTTAATACACCCTCCTTGTATAATGAAAGCATTACACAATTGAAAATAATGCCATCAATGTACTAATGTTTGATAAAAAATATCAAGAACACTATCTAAATCTGATGAAAAGTTTAGGAACATGAAGAAATTATATAAAACAATGATTCCAAAAATAAGCATGATATTTTTAACTGGCATTCATAGGAAGCAAGTAATACATTGTATTATTTACTAACAGGCTTTAGAGAATAGGAAGGAAATTTAAGAAATTTTTTCCTTTGTTTACAGAAGACAGTATTTGCTTAATCAAGGTGAAAATACATTAATTAATACCTCTACTTCTATTCTGGGTTTGTTTCATCGACTAAATCTAGTGCCTACTAAATCAGGTTTTACTTAACCATCTTGATTACATACTAATGGCTTGTGTATTTATAATTTAGATGTATAGCATATGATATATGTAGCATATATATTAGAACACCTTAATTTTGCTGAGAATTATATATTTTAAACACAAACGCTTTCAACCTGATTAACAGGCCATCTTCAGGTCCAAAAAACGAAAATAAAACAGATACGTTCCATGTATAGAATATACATATTTAAATCAAAATTTAGAACAAAAATTTTAAAAAAATTACAAGAGAAACNAAATAATATAAATATTATGTAAAGTATATTTAATATATTATCACTATATATTCTTCACTAGGAGTCACCAAACACTTTTCACAGCATGCCAGATAACTGAGAGAATGATGAGTGCAAGCTGCATAACCATTTTGTTCAATATAGTATACTGAATACACAAAAAATAAAAAAAACAACATATTTATTTTACCAATACACAAACATGATTGCTGCAGCAAGCTCATAATCACTTTTCTTAGAAACTTCATTGAATGCAAAAAGTGCTCTGATATCCAAAGTCACAAAAAAGTCACCAAATTTTTCATTTCACTGATTTTCCTAAAAATTATATTATTGTCAATGCAAAAATCAAATTAAGACCAATTTTGGCATTTTTACTTACACTTATTTTAATTTTTTCTACATAGTAAGTTCATCTACAATCTATGATATTTCCATATAAATAATTATATTTTATAATTAGCTCATTTGTGGCACAGTACAGCAGAGGGCCAGATGAATTGGCCTGCGGGCTGTAGTTTGGTGGCCCCTGTTCTAAACTACTAAATATAGCTAGTTTCACTGCAGATAGAAACTGAATATGACAAAAAAACTGACAACCATTTACACACAAAAAATGTAAATTAGAAAATTAGAGAACATTACAGGTATAATGTAACATTTTAGTTAAACTAAAATGGCGTAACATCCAAACATTTCAATACATTGATTGCTGCAAATATACAGTAATAGCCAAAAGTAGAGCTACCCTTGACATATGTTTTAGAAATGAGACCTCTATTTTGTTCACCACCTACTAGATAATTAATATTGTAATAGTTGAAAAAAGCACAAAAAAAGTGAAATACTCAATTAACTCAAACTGATTTTACTTTAAATCTGATTTACAAAAGAAAAAACAAAGTTTTTATATTTTACACTGTGGACAAAAGTAGAGCTATCAAAGGAAGTATGCAGATTTTTCCAGTATTTTTAGGACAAAATATTAGTGTGAGGTTTGCCGATTGGGGAGAAAGTGTCATGACAATCGAGCGGTCAGCACTGTCGCGTGGGAGTGGAAAACTTACTGAGACTGGTCCTCCATTGCAAATTGTTTATTAAATATAAAAATTTCGCTTACAACTACTGTTTTATTTCAACGATCTTTTCTTCCTCTGGTGAATATGATGAGGAAAATGTAGGTTCCAGGGCGCACAGCACAACTTGAAGGAGTGACTCTCGTAGCAGGATACACTTGGCAAAACTTGCCGGGACGGGATGGCGAAAATCTTCTTCCGGAACAACGACCAAGTTTCCATTGTTGAACAGCAGGAAAAATCCAGGAGCAGAGTACACCAAACTAAGAACCAAGAACGTCACATCCTTTTTTTGCAAGGTTTTTATAAGTTTTTTCTGGGTCCCAGATCAAACATTACGATAGGTCAATGTCGACTTGCCTCCCTTTCTGGTTGGTTATTCACTCGTTACGAAACATAACAAGATCAGAACCCAGACCGACTGACAATTTGATTTTTATTGAAGATGTTTGATCTTAAGACTTACATTCACCCATTGTTTTAACCTGAGTAGTTTGACTTTCTTAGTAAGTTTTTCCACTCCCATGCAACAGTGCCGACCATTTGATTGTCGTGACACTTTCTCCCCAATCGGCAAACCTCACATGAGTATTTTGTGGCATAACCAGAGCTTCTAATCACTGCATCACATCTATGTTCCATTGAATCACATAACCAAGCAGTGATTTGGGAGTCTCATACCATCTTTATGAATGGTAGACCACAATTCATCCCTATCTGAATATGCATGCTGGCATATACAGCACTCAACTTCATCCCAAAGATTCTCTATGGGGTTTAGGTCTGGTGATTGGGCTGGCCATGCCATAAGATTCACTCTTTTCTGTTAAAACCATTGATTTACCAAATTTGCTGTGTTTTGGGTCATTGTGCTGTTGAAAGATTCATTTCCTTGGCATTGAACGCATGAGGAAGCATTTGATTCTGTAATATGTCCTGATAAATGGTTTGATCCATTATTCCAATAATTCTATGAATTGGACCAATTCTCTTTGCAGAGAAACATCCCCATACCATTATGCAGCTTTATTATAGGAACCATGCTTTATTATAGGAACTATGTATTTTGGGTCATATCTCATGTTCACTGGTTGTCTGACATATCATATATCATCACTAGAGAAGACATTGAGTTTAGATTCATAACTCCATAACACCTTGGACCATTTTTGTTCAGTCCAAGTGATGTGTTCATGTGCAAACTCTAATCTCAATTTTTTGTTTTTTGCAGAGATGAGTGGTTTCTTTGCTGGTCATCTCCCATGTAATCCAAAACTAGTCAAACGTCTTCGTACAGTCCTTATGATTATATCTGGGTTACCCACTTCAGGTTTAATATGTGAAACAGTCAAAAAAGGGTTGGCTGCACTCGTACGCCTGATCAAAACAATCCAACTGTGGTGTTGTTTTTTGTGGTCTACCTGACTTTTTGGCAAAAACAATGGTCCCATATATTTCAAAACACTTCACCACTTTTGCAACAACAGTTTTATGCACATTAAAGATTTTAACAATTTCAGTAAAGGTCTTTTTTTCCTTCAAATGCATATCTACCATTGTTTGATATCATTTGATAATTGTATTCCTCCAGACAACTTAGTTGATTCAATGGAATGTAAATGTGATGCAGTGATCAGAAGCTCTGGTTATGTCACAAAATCCTAATATTTTGTCCTAAAAATACTGGATAAATCTGTGTAATTCCTTTGGTAGCTCTAGTTTTGTCACAGGATAAAATATAAAAATTTTGTTTTTCTTTTGTAAATCAGTTTTAAAATAAAATCAGCTTGAGTTAATTGAGTATTTTGACTCTTTTTTTTTGTGCTCTTTTCAACTACCACGATATTAATTATGTAGTAGGTAGTAAACAAAACAGAGGTTGCATTTTAAAACATATATCAAGGGTTGCTCAACTTTTGGCCACTACTGTACAAGATATTGAGGCATAAAGCAATTTTAACCAGTCAATGAAATAAATAGCATAAACTAAAGGCTAAGTAAAATTTTAATCATTATCATTACTAACATAAATAATGATGATATAACTCAGCATATAAAATCTAAAATTTGCATTTGAGAAACCATACTTATATTTACCTATCATTGTATCCCATACTCCAACTATAGGATTTATTATCTTTGGCTTGCTTTTTCTGAGCTTTATCAGATTCAAGATCATTATACACCCAATTTCGAATTCCATTCATTGTTTTGTAAGATGTACCATTAAGTCGAGAAACTGGATTGTGTCCAGTCGCATCTAATATAGATACTGCCAAAGCTCTTCCAACCTGCTAAATTTAAATGTTAACATAAATTAAATTACTTAATCATTAAATTTCATATTTCTAAAATGTTATTAAATTTCATTATTAATTTCTTAATATATAATATTGTTGTTGTGCAAGTGGGAGCCAGCAGGCCAAATGCACCTCAACCTAAATGGTCCATTAATACATAATATAATGATATCCCACCTGTTGATAGACGGTTGGACTATAATATGGAATGGCTTTTCCAGGTAATGGAGGTGTTAAAATTCCATCACTTCCTTCTATTTTAGCCAAGTTATTAATTGATCTTCCAGTATTATAATTACATTCCAATGTGTAACTAAATAAAACGTTAAAATAGTATTAAATTTCATGTTATTATATTTAATGATAAATAATTCTAACAAATATTAAAATGGAAAGTGTTCATACAATTTTCTTATCATAATCAATATTTTAAATAATAAACAAGATCTTTTATTAAAATATGATGATTTCTCTATATATCTAGTATTTAAATAAAAATTATAATATGAAAATAGCATCTTCATCAGCAAAAGCAAGCCAATTCAGTTCATCACTGTTCTCTGGCTTCATGAGATCAAAAAACTTTTTACTCATTTTTATTTATCACTAGTTGACAGAAAAATACAAATAAAGACACTTGTATACAATATTAAAGATGGCACATCACAAGAACACATTGTAACTGAAAGATTTTGTGTACCGCAAAATACCTACTGATTTAGTCACACTACATCTAGCAGGTACAAACCCAGACAACTAAAATTTCACCTAAAAACAGGGCCATAAACTTAAAAGCCACCAATGTAGGTTTAGTGGCACTTCACAATACATTAGTTGAGAACTATCCAACTGTTATTCATTTCTGAGAAATTTGCATAAAATTAAGCCTTGCACCTGTCAGATGAATGCACAATTAACAAATATCTTTATTCTTTCAGATAATTTTCAAGTACTCATTGAATAAAAAAAAAAATGAGTAGCTACTGAAGTAAATGTAGAATTTTGAGAACCTGCTTCAGGCAGGAGTGTATTTACAAAACATTATATAGGGTTCCAAAAAGTTACTGTGCAGTGAAAAGAGTTGAAGTAAAGTTTTATGTACAGTATTGCAATTTCTCCCACAGCAAATACTGGAAATGTCCACCAGAGATCCAACATCCAAGGGAGTGAGATCCAGAGACCTAGCAGATCATATTCCATAGAAAAATATGTGATCTGCAAAGAAATCTTCTAAAAACTGTAGTCCAAAAACCAGAACATCTGTAAGCAAGCAGTAATGTCTGCTACTACAAAGTGGAAATGCAGGATACACAACTTACAGGTGTCATATACGAAGCCATACACATAACTTTAATGTCATTACAAATTTCTCACTGCACAGTAACTTTTTGGATACCTTGTATATTCATTAAAGAGTATATTAAATATTTCTCTTTATCACAACTACAAATCTGAATTTCCATATATCTATTGTAAGTTTGTTACATATTAGTTGCTATATACTGTAATTCATAACATAGTTCATTTAAAATAAAATTTTTAATAAATAAAATAAATTATCTTTTTTTATTGGAATTGATCATCTATTGACAAAATACAAGGAAAATAATGATTGCTATTATATAATATTATTAGTTAACATATATTTTTAATATAAATAAAACAATAAAATAGGTACAATTTCAATTACATTTTTTATTAAAAATAGTTTTATTAATTTCATGTCTCAATTATTTTAATCAGAAGTTAAATTGTAAATAAATTTTAGTTTTGATAATTGTATATTTTATTTACTTAAATTTTTTGTATTTACTTTGTACTTTAAAACCTTTTTGTATTTATCAAAATAAAATAATATATGGATAAGTAACTCGAAATCAATATAGTTTTATTAAAGCCTAAATTTTGCCTGCATAAAAGTACAGTAAAATCCTACAAAATTGAATATGCCCAAACAGAAAATAAATCCCAGAATGAAATGATTTGCTGTGTTAAAAATACTGCTATAAGTCAGAAACCTTTAATTAATAAGTTTATGTTTCTTTGTAAATAAAGACACAGTTGTTCCAAAAATTCTTTTGAAAACCAACATTTTATTAACTGTTATAGAATAAAACTTTAGATGACCAGACCTTCCTTTATAGGCTACTCGGCCTATAAAGGAAGGACCTGAAGATGTCGTAAGATCCACCAATTCCAATTTTTTTAATTTATATTTTTAATTGGATAATTTTTTTTTTGGTGTTTTTAAGGAATGTTTTAAACTGGACGGCTGAGTAGCCTATAAAGGAAGGTCTGGTCATCTAAAGTTTTATTCTATAACACGTAATAAAATGATGGTTTTCAAAAGAATTTTTGGAACAACTGTGTCTTTATTTACAAAGAAAAATTTGTCATCCGATAGAAACTTTATCAAGTTTATGTTTGTATCCTCACACATTATTATTCACTCAACACTCTAAAGTCTCTGAAGATGAGTGAAACTCAGCAAAACAATAAACATTTGAAGTGTGCAATGCCATAATGTTGTAAATGCCAAAAAAGAAACTTTTCAGAAGTAAAAAAAAATTTTTCTAATGAATGAATTCATTTCAAATTTACAATAAAATGGTAAAAAAAACTCACTGGGTTACAGATTCTCTGGAATATAAACATAATCCATGTAAATATAAGCCACGTTTTATGCGCCAAAAATCACGTGACTTGTACTCTGGCACTTTAAATGTTATATTTTCACATAAATTCATCTTCAAAATACAGCCACTTACACTGCCAATATCACCACAATATTCTTTTGTAGCAGAAAACATTGCATTTAGAATTCAAGTCTTCAATAAAATATATTTAGAAAAAATGGCATTTACAACATTATGGCATTGCACACTTCATTTGTGAAATAAAGTAAATGTTGTAAAAATGAAATCTAAAGGAAAGAAAGTGGTTTTTATGTTGGAGAAGACTATAGAAATATAAAATAAAAGTCTATGAACTGTGCTATTTATGTCATTAATGATTTTTCTGGATTTTTGGTCATTCAAATCGGGCCTGATCCTGTTTGAGCCATATAAATGGGGTCCACTGTATATATATTTTCATAACTTATAAAAATTCCATTTCTAAGATTACAATAATATAGTAATAAAAAGTAATATAGCACCTGTTGCTTATTTATTCACATAAATAAGCAACAGGTGCTATATTACTTTATTAAGTATAATTAAATTAAAATTGATTTTATTCAATTTTGACATTTATGACTATTTTTAAATTAATTTTTCATAGTATTTCATGTCAAATAATTTCAATCAAAATGTAGTCAATAAAAAAATAACAACAGTTTAATTTAATACTTTAATTTATGTACTTAAATAATTACATGTATATAAATTGTAATGTTTGATGAATTAAATATCACAAAATTATTAATAATTATACTGATGAAAGAAAAAACACCTATTTAACATCAAATAGATGTTTTAGTTTTCATTAATATTTTTATTAACATTAAATAAATTATTATTGTTTTTATATATTATTGTATGGTTTACTAATTACTTATTTAATCAAATTATTAAAATAAAATAAGATTTACTAAAATGAATATCTTAAATCCTAATTAACATTTTTCTTACCTATGTATTATTCCAGTAAGAAGATAAAAAGCAACTCTACCACTTCCTTTTTTGCTTTGACCTTCTCTTCTACCACTCGTCCACATATTATGTGAACTAAAATTACAAGCTGAGTAATCAAAGTTGGGGCAATTTATTGACATCAACTTAGCTAATGTCCAGGATTCGGTCTGAAAAATTTATAATTCAATTAGTAAACATCAGAGTAAATAAACTAAATATTTTTATTATATGAATCTGCTGAAAACTTCATGTTAACTTTTTTAGTCAAATATTTCATAGTAAAAATACATTTTGAAAGTTTAAAATATTGCCAATGTATCAACCATAAGATATCTGTTTTCTCATACAAATAAATAACACAATTTATTACTGGATTAATTTATAATAAATTTTAAATAAATTAAATAAGATAATAAATTTTTATCATCTCTTATTAAATCCAAAATAATTAAACTTGAACTAACCTTTTTATCAAGTTCTCCAAAGTAATTACCATAAAAGAAGCAACCACGTTTAGAAGCATGTCCATGGAGATCAATATAGTATGCAATACCACTCTTTTCTGGAGGTAAAACTGGTATATCTTTTTTGTCAACTGTTAATTCTTCTTCTGATGTACTAATTTCAAATTTATAAGTATCTGTGCCACAACTTATATCATTATTAGATTCATTACCACTTGCTGATTTTAACTAAAAATAAAATAAAATGAATAATTATTTGGTAATATTTAATAATAGTTTTTTAGTTAAATCATTTACCTAATCTACAAATAGTCATTTAACTAGTCATATAAATGTAATATACATGATGATTGTACGATGTTCAATTAGAACTAGATATATCATTAGACTTTCAAAATTTGTCTCATTATGAAAAGTTTCTAGCTACATTTTATATGAATATTTTTAATAATGATATGTCTTTCTTCACTAACAACAATGTTTTTTTATTATGTCATATAATAATACTAACAACACATTACATGGGATGCTTCTGAATAACTCTTTTGCATAATTTTAGATTATAAAACTTTTATAAATCATTTACTCATCAGCTTGCTGGATGGCCAAGAATTTTTTATTTAGTTTTTTTTAAGGTTTGATTTGGTTTTGTTCACATGTGGCAACACAACACATGGACAATCTGCCTAGGGAAGGAATGCTTCCCAGATCTTTTATGGGGAGTTTCCCAGGAATGCTTCCCAGACCAACTTCCAGTGTTCACTATTTTATCCACTGAGCCACTGTTGGACTGTTTAGTTTTTTAACTCTTTCCACTAAGGTTTTTTTTAGCAAGCCCATTACAAGTTTGACCAGGGTCACAATGGATTGGTTAGATGATAAGAGATGAGCCTGACATATCTGGACAAACCACTGTGGCTACACACCTGTTTATTATTTTTATTATCATTATTATTAATCTGTATAGTTTTAGTTTAATTTAAATTCTAGAATTTTCCTTCCTTCCAATTTCTTTGTTCCTTTGTCTCGGACTTCCGAGAACTCGCCTCACCCCTAACCCATCACGGGGTAGCCTTAGAACAAAAGGAGAAAACGGGGCAGGAAGAAACGAAAAACAAAGGGTTTTTGGGTATTCTTGGGCCGGACTCTGAGAGAGAAGGACGAGCGGCAGCAGACTCCGAAACGGAAAGTCGGGAAGCGCTGCAGAAGGAAGCGGCCGTAAGAATCGGATCGGCAGAAGAATCCGATCGTTGACTATAGAAAAGGAAACCCCGAAACGAACCCGAATTGTTCTAAAAGGAGAACAGCTGCAGAAAGAAGCCGAGACGAGGAACGGTGGAGAACCAACAGAAAAATTGGGTACCCTCTGCCCTTTAGTTCTTCTTACTTCCCCTTCTACCTTTCCTATCTTTTAGTTTAAGTTAGTTTAAGTTTACGCGCACAAATAGATTTGTCGGGAAGTAGTTATCTGAAAAGTAACTACCGGTCAATTGGCATATCTGATTGCTCAGGATTTTGGTAACGTTTGTAGGTAAACAGCGGGAATCCGAACTTACTATGTATATATATTAATGTTAGCACGAAATTAAACTTGTTTAATTAGTAAAACGTGTCTGTGTTTTCTTGTCCGCGCTGTACATTTTCACACTACCACCTGAAAAATACCTGGTATGTGTATGTGTGTGCATGTGCGTGAGTATTTTATGTAATAATATGAATATAAAATGTTATTATAAATAAAGTGTAATAACACTTACATTATTATTAGAATATTCAGATTTAGCTATTCCAGTCTCAGTATATCTTCCAATTTCATGACAAGTGTTACTTTCTGAAATAAAATTTTAAGCTTTTATTATTATTTGAAAACTTTCATTCTCAAATATTTGATAAATATTAATATTACCTTTAATCTTTCCATTAACTTTTCCATTTCTAAAATCATCTGATTTTATTTTACTTTGAGTCAGTTCTTCAGCACTTGCCATTATACTATCCTTTTCTTCATTAGTATTTTTATTACCGGCATTTCTGATATTGATAACATCATTAATATCAATAATATTGTTAATATTGTGTTCTTTACCAGTAAATTCTCTTTTTGAATTATCACAAATTTTAAACTTTCTTCCTAACTGTCGTAATTTTTCAGTCATTTGTAGTGGTTTTTTAAGGTTGTTTTTAATTCCTGGATCAGAATTACTACTGTCCGAATTAGGAGAGCTTAAACTACTGCTGCCTTCACTTCCATCAACAGCATATAATTTATGGTAATATAGGAACAAAGCACGAGAAGCATATATACTAGGATGCAATAAAATGTTTGCTCCCAAATAAACACGATTCAAATTCACACCACGTGAATCTGTCCTATAATGTCCTCGTACAACACCATCCGGATTAAGCATGGGAATAAGTTTAAAAACAAATAAACGACGTAATGTAATTGCTCTTATGTCCGACGGAGACAGAAGGAATTGCAATATACCATTGAACACAAAACTAGATGGAGTTTCTCCAGGATGAACACGGCTACTAATAAATATTACCTGAAATATAATTACAATTATATTATATTGAACATATCAAGCTTTTAATTTAAAAAATATATTATTCAAGGGTTGTTCTGAAAATAATGCCTGTTTGACATTTTCTCTAAAACTATTAACCTAAATATGATGCCTTTATACTACCAGACAGATTAATTCTTTCTGCATGACTGACAGAATTTCTTTAATTCTAAGTATTGCCAACCCATGGAAATGAAGGAGCAGCAAAAATCAGTCATTGAATTTCTGACCAAAGAAGGTGTTTCTACTGCTGACAGCCACAAAATACTCAGAAATGTGCATGGTGAGACAATAGTTGATGTGAATAATGTGTGAAAATGTGTAAAACGGTTTAAAAAAGGCAAAACCAATATTAAAGACAAACTGCTTAGTGGAAGATCATCAAAAGAAATCACTGATGAAAACCAAATCAGAGTGAGTATCATGATTCATACACTTGGACTGGAATGTCACTGTCCAAGAAACTGATGAGTAACTTGGCTATGGTTACAGTACTGGACTAGAAAGTGTTTGCCATGTCAATTCCTCATCAATTACAGCTGATTTAACGAGAAGAGACTGTGTGTTTAGAACTGTTGGCAGCAGTTAAAACCCACAAGAAAAAAATTTTCTTGTGGAAAAATGATGCAACCTGAACATGCCATTATGAGCCAGAGACTAAAATCAATAAATGGCACTACACTTCCCTAAATCAGAAATATTCTAAAGTCAGTGCTCAGGACCCAAGACTATGGTGAATGTCTTTTGGAATGACAAACGGGTAATTTTTGATTTCCTTGAATATAGGATAATAAACAGCAACCACTATATTGCATTACTCTGAAAAATTCAAAAACCCATCTGAAAGAAAAGATAAAGAAACAGCAATCCAGTTATATCACAATAATTTATAACTGCATACTATGAGGGTACCATATCCCCCTTACAACCCCAATCTTACACCTTCCAACTTCCACTTGTTTTGTTAAGTAAAGAAAAACCTTCAGGGACAGTGCTTTGATGATACAGATGAAGCACAAAATCTTTTGGACACTCCTTACCTTGCATCGATCACTATTAGGTGTTAGGTAAGGAGTGCCCCAAAGATATTTTTCCAAAGTAGTTTTAACAAGAGGGTTCTAAGGTGACACAAATGCATCACTAATGAAAATTATTTTAAATAGCATCTTATTGGAGATGAAAAGTTACTCTACAGATATATGTAGTGGCTTATGTCTCATGTAGTTACAATCCAACAAGCATTACTTTCATTACAACAACCAACACATACTATAACAAAAGGATAAAGTTAAGCAATAATTAATTTCTTTAATATGGATAAAAGATAAGTTTTTCACATCTACATTAAAAAAAGGTAAAAGATATATAAACATTATTTTAATAAAGAGCATCATTTACCATATAATGTTAATTAGACTTTACTTCAATTTAAGAAGCTCATTAATATAATGTATAAATGTAGAGTTCTAGTCTATTCCAGCAACAATTTTTTATTCATCAAATGTTTTTGCTATCTGAGTAGCCATTTTCAGAATCAAACATTCATGAAGTAGTATTGTTTTAAATTTAAATTTTAGAAGTTCTTAGAAGTGTTCTAAATATGAATTGACAATAAATAACTAAAAATAACATAAAGTACAAAAATACTAAAGAAACTATAAAATATAAACAATGATAATAATATACCATAGAACTGTTGAATATATACAATAGTAATTTATGTGTGATTTTAACCTTATCTTGCTTTATAACATACTTCCATGTTGCAGATACTTCCATGCTGTATCATTACGATTAAAATATATGAAGCATGGAAGGATGTTATAAAGCAAGATGAGGTTAAACCAACAAGCATTACTTTCTGCCCTAAAAGCACTTAAGATGGCCTTTTTATCAGGGATGGAGTTAGAAGTCAAAATGTTGAATATTTTATGGAAATCGAGAGTCAGAGTCTATTTAAAAAAATACCAACTCAGGAATCAAGAGTCATGTATTTTTCAGCCAACTCTCCATCTACTTTTTAGAAAACCCATTATGGGTTCAACTAGGCCTGCAATAGGGTGGCCAAATGATGAGGAACAGGGCCTGATATATCTGGACAGATCACCCCCAGAAAAATTCCAGGGTTTTTGATCCATCAGATTCAATCCTGGCCCCAGAGTGGTAAACTGCCACTTTAACCACTCATCCATCTGGTCGTCAAAAATATAATTGATGATACCTACACTCAAATACTACTGTTTTCCCTCATAATAGTCCATATGTATGTAACAAGCAGATAGCCTGCTTGCACAAATGTCATCTTTTAACTTTTTATTAAAGAAAACTTAATAATAATTACTTCATTAAAACTTACTCGTTTTCCCACAAATTTATGACATCTTGGCTGTGATGAATCAAGAAATAAATGAGGTAAAGTGCTTTCCAATTCATCAGTTTTTCCATGCTGAGAAGTAATAGTGAGTAAATCAATTCTGTGGCCATCAAGTGAATTACATACTAATTCACGGTAATAATAAATGTCATCTTCAGAACTGTAAAGCAAAATTCATAAGATAACTAATTTAAGATAATTAATTTATTATGGTATCTAATATAAAACATAGTCTGAGTGATAAGTACAGTACTGTACATTGTAATACTTGTATAACTATCAATCAATGCAAATACTTTCTATCTCATTATATATTGTTACATTTCTACCCATGTAATAGTGTTAAAAATAAATCAAACTTTTAATATAATTCTTATTATGCTAATATTATGCTAATGTATTTACATCTGACCCCTTTCAAAGTATGTTTTTCTGCAATTATGCATTTCTGCTAGAACTTTTCAACATGCTAATAATACTCAAAGTATGCTGAAAAGGCTTGTGAATAATAAATGATTATCATATCTTCTTGTAATTTTAAATTACTCAAATATTAATTATACTGATAAACAGTATTACCTATTTTATATAAAACTAGCAGATGAGCCCAGTGTTGCTTGGGCAAAAAATAACAACAGCAAAGACTATTTCGTATTTCTAATCCTTCTATTATATTATATTATCATATATGATTTATATTTACCAAGTCTAACACAGTATAAAAATAATTTTTAATGTGTTAGATTGGGTACTTGGTGTGATAAACCCTTATGTAAGATAACCTTTGTAGTTATATAAATCAAATACTATAATATAACAAACATTAAAACAAAAACCATATAAAGAGTTTGGTTATTTTAACTTACCACTATCATATATATCGCAATACTCGAATGGTACAAATGGCACAATTTCATTGATCAAGTAGATACCAATTGAAAATGTGATATCTTAAATTTTTTAACATATATTTTTCCTTAATGTTAACTCTAAGAAAATGTACCATTTACAGCTTAATATCAAATGGTAATCTGCCAACCAATCAAATTTTGTAAAAAACAGACCAAATATTTAAACTTGGCATCCTTGTAAACCTCTTAAAACATATTTTGTGCTTGCTAGTAACCTTGTATTATGTAATTTTCCTATTCGAATGTCACCATACCACTGGTCCAATAGAAAGAAGGGACTGTTGCGGAAGTGGGTTGAAGTAAATTTGACCAAAAGTAGTTGTTGACCTCCTCCCAGAAGAGAGGTTGGTCAACAACAACTAATTAATACTGCTATTAATATTTGAGAAGTGATCTGTGTTGGATAGGTTGTGATGACCCCATGTGATAAAAGTTGCTAACCTTAACATCTGAAAGATTTTGTATGAAATCAAGATAACTTCCAATTAATTACCAGTGCTAATGACCACCCTTGATGAACCTTTATGTCCGGTAACAAAAACGTTTAATAAATCGTCCAATGAATGTTTCTGACCTTACTCAAGGTCTGATTCAGGTTAAATAAAAAACATCTTGTAAAAATGCAAGAATAATTGCATTTATGTGACAGTAAAGTGTTTATATTTTTGCAAAAGATTATATAAACTATGTGGAAAGTATGTTTTTGTAAATATAGCATTTATAGAAAAATTATTGGGCTACAATTTTAAAAAATTGTAAACCTGTAAATTCCAACTGTCTGTATTCCTTAACCTTTCAGCAGTGGGATAGTCAGGTATGATGCTACCACAAAGTAGTGGAGAATAAATATGGGAAATTTTTAAAGTATTTTTCCATGCGTTTTTTCTCATTACCGTTTCAGAAAAAAATTTTGTAAACAGTTATGTTTAGTAAAGAAAAGTCTTTTTTATTGTTACATAATTCAATTTTTATGTGAATTTTTTTTCGTGGTAGTTTTTGGTGATACCCCAAAAGAATTTAATGGATATATCCGTCCCTTACCACTGCCAAATGATTGCCCTGGATGGATATATCCATCCCTCACTGATGAGTGGTTAATCTTTAGAAAGAAATTAGATAGACAAAAATCGAGACCAGATGTAAAAAGCTTAGGGGCAGTAGGCCTAGAATAACTGTATATGAACTTCGGTTTGGACTGGAAGTTGCATTACTTGAATTCAAAATTTTTCCCCGGATAGAGTTAGCTAGATAAGCAGCACAAAAATTTTTGGATATAAAGATAATTTTTTTCTAATCCTGTTTTGTTATGTACAGTGGAACCTCACTTAATGAGCACCTTGCATAATGAGTAATTTGCATAACATGCAAAACAAATTGTAAAAAAATGGCTCGCTTTATGAGTGATGTTTCGCATAACAAGTGACAAGGAGAGGGAAGTCCCAGATTGTGCACATGCTCCATCAGTCTGTGTTTAGCACTCATTCTGCTAGCATCTTAGTATTGCTTGTGATCACACATTTTTCCAAACTTGTGTTCAGACATATTACATATAAACATCAACAGCCATAGCCCGTTATATAATAAACACACCAAACAATATGCCAATTTCTTGGGCTATAATTAAATATTAGAAATTGATTCATTTGACTAGAGGTAGGCAGTTACGCTTACATCTCGTATTAAATTTATAATATGAGATGAAAGCGTTATGCTTTCATCTCATATTATAAATTTAATACGAGATGGAAGCATAATAGTTATACATAAAATATTTGAGTATTTTTTCAGCATGGAATACATTATCATATTTTACATTAATTTATATGGGAAAAATTGTTTCACTTAACGAGTGTTTTGCATTATGACCAAGATTTTGGAACAAATTATGCTCATTAAGTGAGGTTCCACTGTATTTAAATCTATTTGTTTAATGAACAATTTTCCTCAGCAAACATTAGGTAGTGAAGTAAGATTGTTATATTTAAAACTGTTATACTGCAGAAAAAAATTTATATTTTAATTCAGATATTTAATTTTTTTTAACAAATTCTAATTTTATATAAATCTATTAACTTGAAAATATTATTGTATATAACAATAATAGTGCTTAACTTTAATACTGTATTCTTTTTTCTTTAAAAAATATCAATAACACCAAAAAAGCAGTTATCATAATATACTAAGTGTAATGTTGCTATTTTTATATTTACTAACAAGTCAGTGACATTTTGAACTATGAAATGATTTATTTTGTAAATTTTAATAGATAATGTTAAGCTTATTTTATTTCAATATACAGTAAACTCCACTTATTGTAATCACTTTGAAATCATCTGTACTGATAACATTAAGCAGAATAAATAAATAAACCTATATTCAGTGAAAATTTTGGTTTTATTTTATTATTAATGTTCTTAATGATGATATAATTAACTTACATGTTTTGGAACTTACTAACTGTGACAACATTAAACAACTGCTAATAATATCCACAATTACAATAAGTAGATTCTATTTTATTATTTTTTATTTATTTTTCAGTTTGATGATATTTAATTTTGTAATAATGTTAAACTTATATTTCCTGATTTATTTTTTTCAATTAATTATTTTGAAGTCATTTATCATTCTCCTGGATCCATTACAGATCCTATGCAAAAGTTTTCAAATTAAAAAAGTTAAATTATAGATTTTTCTGTTACATATATATTACATATAAAATATTACATTAAAAAAAAAATTTAATTTAACATTAAAATATATATCCAACTTAATTTAATTACAAATTCCTAATATTGATAGAACAGTACTTACTTTTCAGTTTTATAGGCACCAGATAAATAATTCTTATCTATTGTATTTAACATATCTTGACATTCTGAGTAAGTAAATGGAAATGTAAAGGCAAAATATATTGTTGCATTTGAGTCTGTCGGTAGTTTATGACAAAATGTTAAAATAAAATTATTGTCTTCAACTCCCTAGAATAACAACATACAAAAAATGTATTTAATAAATAATATTGATATCAAATACTTATTAGAATAAATATAAATTTCTAATTTTTAGCATATAACCATAAGATACTTTTTATATAAATATCATTTAAAATTAATAATTCTTTATTTACTTAAGCTTAAGATGTTACTTTTCACAAATAATGAATTTAGTTATTGATAAAATTAATACTGGTGCACAACAGCCACTATAATATAATACTATACTATATAGCTGTTAAAGAAAGTAAAAATGTAATCCCTGTGTGCTAAAGTCACCAAGACATATTTTGTATTAAACAGCGCTATGTTGGCAAGTTTCACATACTTTTGGTCAAAGGTCACTGTCTTGTTTGGTCTGCTGCGTCCCTGTGTGGCACGGTGTCTCCCCTCTCCTTCAGCTTGTATTCATGTTATGTATAACCGTGTATTTCTGTGCGTCGTTAGATTTGTTTATTTGCTTCATTTTCTGACAATAGCAAACTCAATGCAGCATTGAAAAAATGAAGCCTTGCACACTGCATATAGCTGATAATGCACTGTAAGTAGTGTGCAGAACTTTTGTAACATTATAGTGCTATATATATATATATTATAGCAGCCAATGTGCACCAGTCTTTGTAATAAAATATTTATGTTTTTGAGCAAGATATACAGTCTGTTTCAAAAGTATAAACACAGGTGCATAAAAAATGATTTGTGATGTTTCAATATTTTGTAGGCCCACCATTTGATTTAATTAATTCAAATACTCTGTCAGGCATAATTTTATTAGTTTTTGAAGTTGTTCTTGTCTAATATTTTTCCAACAATCCATGATAACTAATTTCAGTGCATTTACAGTATTGTATTGTCTGTTTTGGCTATAAACAAGATGACTCATAATGCTCCAAATATTCTCTAATGGGTTCATATCAGAGCTCCATGATGGCCAATCAATTACATTAATTTTTTTTCAGCAAACCAATTTTTCATTGACTTTGATGCATAAATGGCAGCATTGTCCTGCTGGAATTGCCAGTTTTCTCACCCAATAAGTGATCCAAAAGTTATTAAATTTTGATACAACTGTTCTTGATAGTTTCATTCTACCATCTATATGTCTGTTTTACCCCCATCCAAATCCTGCCCCCACCATCAAAGAGCCTCCACCTTGGTCTCCTCATTCTGACTTCATTCTACCTCAAATCACACCAGTAGTGACTATAACTTTCAGGTCCATCCAAATTCCATTTCTTTTCATCTGAAAAGACTATTTGTTTCCATTCCTCTTTCCATGTCATCTTGTCTTTGGCCCACTTTAATCTAGCTGTTTTGAGCAATTGTGTTAATTTCAATTTGGCAGCCATTTTTGTAAATTTGGCATTTTTATGATTATGCATACATCTCCATACAGTTGCTGATGAAACTGCAATTGGCAATGTTGATGCTGATTCTCTGACAGAGAACTCGTTGACTGTCAGTAGTCAAAAAACCTTTCTTTCATTTCTACGTGAAACGAGTTTAGACTTTCCACATAGCTTATATCTGCCATAATTTTCATCCGAGTTAATGCATTTCTCATAGCTCATGTAGATTGATTTAAAGCTGCTGAAATTTGTCTTAGAGATTGTCCTGCTTCTTTTAGTTGGTAAATTTTACATATTTTTAACTCTATTAGTGTTTTTCCATGAGGCATTGTTTTAAGTCACAAATAACTGTTTAAAATTGGCACCACATTTGTAATAATGAATGATACTACCCTCTGGTAACAACTAATTAAACCAATAATTAATAAAAACAATATTATCATACTAATTTTATGCACCTGTGTTTATACTTTTGAAACAATCAAAAATTGAATATCTGTGATAATTTTTTTATAATTGTCAGATAGCTCTAAAACTTTCAGAAAATGTTTAAGTTGATGTTGTAAACAACATACTAATGTAATAAATACATTACTATTGTTAATGTTTTTGTTATTGAAAAAATTTGGTGTGTTTATAATTTTGAAACAGACTAAATTTCAGCTTTTATAACTGGACAAGTTAATTCAGTAGGAAAAATAAAGTAATTTTATACGAAATATGTCCCAAAGTGTACAAAACTTTCTATGATCAACTTTGTACACTGCAGCACGATGTTGCTGCATATCCCTGTATAGATGGTGTTATGTAACTGGAAAAGTATGTCATGACATAATTGGTTGAGTCAATGTGAAGCTATTATTGTTTATACGTGATTGAGTGAGGAATCTCATAACATTTTCAATGAAGAGAAACATCAAAGGCATGCCAAAAAATTTTGTACCTTATTACACTCAATAAATCTTTTACCAAGACATTTAAAAGTTTGACTGAAGCATATGAAGATGCAACTCTATCGAAAAACATGATTTCCATACAGCACAAAGAATTCGAAAAGATTGGAAAACTGCTGAAGAGAAACCTCATTCTGGAAAGCCAACAATGTCAATGAATAATGCAAATGTAGACACTGCTGAAATGGCAAAAACTGTTGAATGCTCATCAGGATGACAGCAGAACAGATGAGCTTGGATAAAAATACAGTTCCTAGAATTTTAACAAAAATTTTGCAAATGCAAACAATTTATGTGAAAATTATGCAAAGGAATGTATCTGAAGAAAAGAAGCAGAGTCAGTTTGCCAAGATTTGCTGGAAGGGCTTGAAACTAATAAATTTCGTAAAGAAAGTCAAGACAGTGACAAGACATAACATGAGTGCCTGAGTATAATCCTCAGATCGAACGACAAAGTGAGAAATGGCATATCACACAATCTCCTTGTTTAAAGAAAACAATAACGAACGAATCAAAAGTCAAAACAATGATAATTGTTTTTGACATTTAAGAAAGTTTCTGTAAAGAATTTTTACCTCCAGAACAGATGAGATGATAAATAAAGTTTTTTATCAGGATGTCTGGCAATGACTTTTGAAACAGGTACAGTGGTTCAAAAGGATATTGCAGATGAGTGGTTGTGGAACATGGCAATGTGCCTGCTCACATTCCACTGTCAGTTTGATAGTTTTTGCCCAAAAGAATTCCAGAACTTCCACAATCTCTTTATTACCTAGATTTGACTCCATATAACTTTTACTCATTCCCAAATTGAAATTGAAAATACCATCAAAATGATGATCTTTCATCTTTGGTTTCAAAAAGACTTATCCACACTTTTGGATGTCCACATAGGGATATCCAAAAGTGTGTGATTCAAATAAAAATGTAAATAAGAAATTTGAATAAACAATTTCCTTTTTTAAAGTGGTTTTTAGGTATAATCAGCAAAAATTTTGTCAAGTAATTCTTGAATAAATTTCTATGGATTATAATTTTTTAATAAAAAAAATAACAGAATTGTGTATTGTAAATACATAAAAAATTTTCTTCTCTTATAATAGAGTATAAAAACAGCTTGAAAAAGTAATTATATTTATATCAGAATGAATATTAAGAAGGAAAAGTAGAAAATTAGGATGTATTTTGAGAAAAAATGCAGGTACCACTGTTTGTCTTCCAGGGGTCATACTTTGAAGAGGATAATTTGTAATTTCAAATAACTCTAATAAATTTGTTTTTTAAATCAGTACACTTACTTTTCAGACATACCTTGTATATAATAAAAATATACTAAAAAATAACATATTTTAAACAGAACTGAAAACTATAAATATAAATAAAAAAATGTACCTGAATTATTGGTTTCCTGGGAATACGATTCCATTTCTCTTTACCGGGTACAATTCTATAAACTGGTGTCATACCATAACCAAATAATTTAATTTGACGATTCATATTTACAATATTTATTTTAACCAAAGTTTCTGGGTAACCTCCTTGAATCCCAAAGTGAAACCAAGTCCTAAGATAACACATTAAAAAAAAAATGAAACATGTTGAAAATCATTTACAAAAATATACAAGTTTTGACATATAAAAGAAAAAATTCCAACTATAACAACACTTGAAACTTACAACACATTCAAAACAATTTTAAATATGTTACCAATCTCTCTCCCTAACAGGTCTAACATTCCACTTTGACTATCGTGTCTACCATATTAGCATCATACCACACAAAAAATCCCAAGAGATCCGTTACAATCTCCCACTCTGATTCCAAAATTGTCCCTGATATGGAACCAGCAGCCATCCTTGGTCTTCCCCATTTTCTTAATGGCACAACTGAAGTTTTACTCAACCATGATACTCCTTCAAGGCTGAGGGGTAATACACACCCACAAAGATGGTAATCTTTTCCAGACTGGAAACTTCATACGACATTGCTAATCTTTGTGATAGAATAATATAGGGTCCATCATAGTAAGGCATAAATTTAGAACACATTTGTTGATTGCATTGCTTACAGGATGTGAAGCTAACTAATATTTGGTCTCCAAGCTGGAAATAAGGGGCTTGTTTCTGAAGTCTTAGCATACACCTTCCATTAGTCTTGCTTAATTTCCATTTGCTCTCTAATTTCTTCTAATGCAACCCAGAATCTTTTAAAATATGGTGTAATTTCCAGTTTAAAATTATCATTATAAGCTATTGATCGAAGATCATATGCCACATCATTGATGGTATGCATTTCTCAACCAAATTGTAAAAAGCAGCAGTTTAACCAGAGGTTTCACATTTAGCTATATTCATAGCAAAACAAATTGTTGGTAAATGCTCATCCCAAGAACCAGGTTAGCAAGATATGGCTTTAGGTCACAATTCTTTCTTTCCACTGGATTGGCCTGTGGATGATAAACAGGTAGTAAGCTTTGCTTTATTTTTAGCAGATAACATAGTTGCTACATCACACCACTAACAAACTGCAGACCATTATTGCTGATTATTTGTCAAGGTAAACCATAGTGCAGAAATATTTCATTTAGTAAAGTTTGAATTTGCTTTAACTAGGGAAAACAATTCAATACAGTTGGTTGTACAGTCTTCGAAAATGAATATCCATTTCTTCCCAGTCTTACTTACTGGCAAGGGACCAAAAAGGTCAATTGAGAGTGTTTTGAAATGCTGAGAGTAGATTGGTGTTTGCAATAAGCCTGCTGGTTTTTCATTTGATGATTTGCACTATTTGTCTATTACACTCAGAACAGTTTTTTACATACTTAGTAATCTGCTTACACACCCCTTTCCAGTAATAATGTTTCACAATTAGCTGATATGTACTTTCAGCTCCAAAATGTTCAGCTATGGAAGAGTCATGGTATTCCCTCTCAGGTATGTGCATGGGAACAACCAACTGGGCTTCCTCAAATTCTGAATCAGGAGAGTATATATATAATACTCTTTTATTCATAAGGAAACCTTGCTCTGTACATCTTGAAAAATCAACTTCATCTTTATTTGGATCTTCAAAGGACTGTATTATTTTCTGGAGATCCTGATTTTTTAATTGTTCGTTATATATTTTCCTTACTATAAGCATTGGAAAGTCAACAAAAACTGCACATAGTTCACATGAATCCTTAGTACCTTCATGACAGACTGGACGAGATAACACATCAGCTACAACATTAGACTTTCCTGGAATATACTGTAATCTTGATGTTAAAAGACTGAAGTTGAAATGACCATCTAGCAAGTCTTCTGGACAGTGATGTGAGGCTCATTAACCATGGGGTTGATGATCAGAAGCGATAATTGTTCTGCTGCCCTCAATATAACCATGGAACTTACTTAATACCCAAATAACTGCAAGGGCTTCTCATTATGTTGTGGAGTAATTGCAGTCTGCTGAAGACAGTAATCTAGTTGAATATTCAACGAGATGCTCTTTTGCACCATGTCCCTAAAGAAATGCTGCTCCAAGGGAATAACTACTAGCATCTGTATGAATGACAAAAGGAAGGATCCCATCAGATTGTTTTAATATAGGGGGTGTTACTAAGCACTGTTTGAGTTTATTAAAAGCAGCTTCCTCTTCTGCACCCCACTTCAGTGAGCATTCTTCTTAGTTAGATTACTTAACAGTCTTGAAATGCCTGCAAAATGAAGAACAAATCTGCAATAACATGTTTGTAGAAATGATTGCAACTGCTTAACAATTTTTGTTGGGGAAATATTCAAAATGGAGCTAACCTTACCAGGATCTACTTCACTTCAATTTCTTTATTTGTGATCCAATAACCAAGGTATTTTGCATGTGGGGTGGCAAAGTTACATTTAACACGATTGGCATGCAGATTAAATTTTAATAATCTCTCAAAGACTTTCAAATCAATGAGATGCTGTTCGAATGTAGATGACAATACGATGATATCATCCAAGTACACTAATGTTTTTACATTTGGCAGACCATGGCAAAATTTATCATTTATGCTGATAGGTTGAGGGGGCATTTCACAATCCAAATGGCATATTAAGGTACCAGAATGTTCCAAGGTGGCACACAAAAGCTGTCTTATCTGTTTCAGAGGAGGTGCACACTAACTTGATGGTAGCCAGAATTCAGGACCAGAGTTGACATGTGAGCCACAGGTGTGCCGTCACTCAACAGATCAGCTATTCTTGGTAATGGATAACTATCTGGCACTGTGACAGCACTGAGTTTACAAAAATTGATACAAAGATGTACAGTACTGTACATCCCCATTAGATTTTGTAACTAGTACAACTGGAGCTGTTAGGGAGATTCACACTCTTCTATAAACCCTTTCTTCAATAATTTTTCAACTTTCTTTTTAACTACAGTAGAGCGTCGATTTTCTGAAAGTCAATCATCCGAAAGAATTCCAGTCGGCAAATTTAAATTTTCGCCAGTGCTGTGGCGCTTCAATCTTTGGCTATGTCTTGGGCTACTCAAATATTTTACGTTTTTGATAGTAAATTAACATCTGAAGTATATTTTTTTTATTGTTTTTATATTTTTCAATATATTTATTTTGTTTGTACAAAATAAAAAAATAATTTTTAATGATACAATAGTCTTTGTTAGGCTTAACATCGACGAAAATTCAACGCAAAGCGACACGCAACGGAGAAAAATTTCAACATCGGATACGTTAAACTATTTTTTCGTACATAAATCGGTTATCTGAAAAATCGGTTATCCGAACAACCCCAGTCCCCAATTGATTCGGAAAATCGACGCTCTACTGTATTTCTTTCCTTGCTGAAGATAAACGATAAGTGGAACAGTGACTGGAGCTGAATTACCCGTATTAATATGATGTTCAACATATGGTGCTGCTTCCTTTCCTTCTTGAAAAACCTTTTCATATTGTGGTATTAATGCATCAAATTGCTCTCTCTGTTTGTTGGACAAATATTCACCTTCATTTTGATGTAACCCAGAGGAGTTTTGGATGATCCCATTCAACACATACCAGCATCAGGGTTTCTTTCTCAACAAAACAATATTTATTTGAGGGATCCTCCTGAAGTTTCCATTTTTCATATCTAATACTATGACTACTTTTTGTAAGAAATCTTAGGCAAGTCACTGAATGACATTATACTTTTGGGCTTGATTGCAACAAATATTGTACAAATTTAGTATTTTATCCAATGAATCTGATAAATATCAGAAAATTACACACTTACAAGGTGTGTCTACTAAGTTCTGAGTCTGAATTTACAAAATCAGTCAATTTAGATTCAGTTTCCAAAATACATTCCTCTATAATACACATTTCTGCTTGCTCTAGTAATTTATGTATGGCCTCATTAAAGGATCTTTTTAGAATGTTATTTAGTTTCCTCCACACAGCTTCTCAAATTTCAAAAATTGACTGAAGTTCTCTCTCTTTCAAAGTATATTTTAATTTGAGGATCAGGAAGTGGTCAGTTGGAGCTCACTAAACTGTTGGAGCTTCTGTTTCCTAAATTAAATTTTTGCTTTAAATGAAAGACAATTTTAGTCAATTTTAGAAATCTGGGAGACTGTGCAATTGGAACTAAGCAGCATTCCAAAAAGATCTTATCATGAGGATATATGTAAATTACTACAGCATGCAAAAATTTCTCACAAAGAACACTCTGAAGACATATTAAATAAAATAATTTCTGTCAAAAACTTTTTGAAGTGAAACATGTGAAGTAAGCAAGCTTCCTTGGTAGCAACTCAAACTGACAAATCACTGAAACAAGTTTTGCAAAATATGATGTGACCAATTTGACAAAATTCTGTAAATTGATAGAATTAAAAAAATGGCATGTCATCAGGGAGACCAAATTTTGAGGGTCAAAGGTCATCCTCATGTTAAGTCAATGGGAAATTGACTTAACATGAGACTGTATTGTAAAAATGTAAACAAATGAGCACATGCTACCCAACATTCAAAATATGGCAAAGTTCTTGCCAAATTTTTTTGAATACTAATCTTCCCTTTCCATTTTCATTAAAAAATTGACCTATATCTATTAATGACGTGTAATATACCTTGCATAAAAACCCCTATGCTAATTTATAATACATTAACATATTATATCTTCCACAACATTTATTATGAAAGGTAAGGAAGTTTTAGAACAAAGGTAAAAGTTTTAGAACAAAGGTTTTCTTTATCCTTGCTGTCTTTGTCGTTCCTTAATAATTTGTACAAGTTAGGAGTTCTCTCGAAAACTAACTTGGACTTTTTGTGGGCTGAAATTTCCTTCATGATGGCTTTTTTCTTTCCATCATAAGTGAACTTTGTGATTTTGTCGAAATCTCCGCTTTGAGCCTTAGTTTTGTTTATTTCGTAATTTCTGATCAATGTTGTTATCATATCTGCTCTGTACCCTAGAGATCTGGCAATATGTAATATTCTATTAATCTCTTTTTGCCTATCCACCAACACTACTTCAATAGAGAAAGGCCCTTTGGATAAGGGCATGGAAGGCAGCCATTTTGTATTGGTAAGGATCATTAGAGTGGGACGGAATGTACAGAGGGCTATGCGTCAGTTTTACGTATACCTTAGTGGCCAAATGTCCTTCTATGAATTCAATGTCACTATCCAAAAAATGTATCTGTGAGGCACATTTCTGTTCAATCTTCAGCATGAGGCCATCATCGTTGTTGTTGATCTTGTTAATAAAATCATTGATTTTTTGGTCATTCTTCCTAACTACAAAGACATCGTCAATGTATCTTTTAAAATACACAATGTCATTTAAGAAAACAGAAAGAACACTTTTTTCCAATTTTCTCAATACAAGTTCACACAACAGTCCTGACATGGGACTTCCCATAGGGACTCCTCTTTTTTTGTCTGTACTGAAGGTTAGCTAGTTCTATCAAATCATTATTGAAACATGCCAAATCTGGGCTCTTGCTATGCATGAAATCTAAAAGTACTAACCTGCATGATTCAATTTTTATAAACAGGTATAAACTTTCATAGTCCATCACTGTTCCAATTTCATTGTCCATTAAAATTAGATCTTGTATTTCCTTAACCACCTCCCTTGGATCATGTGCCACATGTACAGTACATTACTCTCGAGGTGCGAGGTGAGAAATTTATGTAATTTCTTTTCAAGAATAAACGTTGGTCCTCTGCACATTTTCACTATAAGTCTCATTTCTTTACCCTCTTTATGGGTCTTGGTAAAAGCAAACAATCTTGGCTTACTTGGCCAGGGATTACAACAATTTTTGAGGAAAGGTAATGCATTAATGAGCTTAGCTTTTTCAACCTTCTTAACCCTTCTGTCGATGCTGTCGATAATCTTTGCTTCAACACTCTCGCATTCAGTTTTTTTAATATAATCCTCCAATGCATTATTATATGCCTGCCTTTTCATGATTACCAAGGTTTTGCTTTTGTCAGCTCTTGTTGTAACTAAATCAGTTTTTCTAAGCCAACTTTTAGTAAGTTTGATGTATTTACTGGCATCACATCCTTTTTTCCAAGTCGTCTGGTCTTTTATGACGGTTTTCCATCAGAGGTATTCTTTTTCTAAAGACTCTAGCCCAGATATTCCCCTTTCTATTTCTTGGATTGAAGTTTCCCAAGAGTTTGAATTTTCTGAGACAAAGTTTGGTCCCCATTTTAGAAAATCCTTGATCTTAGTCAGGAATATCTATACCAATGTGTTTTCTGAGTAATACAGTTTATCACTAATTTAAAAATAAAAAACAATTCAACTATCCAGCATAATTCTTTAATAACATAAAAACGTTTTCAAACGCATTAAGCGTTCATCATCAGTTATTTCTCTAATTCGAAACGGGAAATTTGAAAAATTACTTTTTCAAATTTCCCGTTCAAATGGTTTTTTTTATTTTTAAGTTGAATTCTCCAGTAAGCAAGTATACAATTATTTATCACTAATGTTTTTGAACCATTAAATAGTTCTTCATCAAGTGAAATATACTGAATAATCAATGGAACACATCAAAATAGAATGTGAATACTCAAATTAAATCCAACAAAAGCTTGACGAAATTCGTTACAATTAGGGTGACCACACGTCCTACTGTGGGAGGACATGTCCTCCTACAATTAAACGTTTTGTCCTACATCCTACTACCTAACGGAAATGCCCTACTTTCACAGGTAACTACTTCTGGGCCAATAGGTAGTCATTAATAATAACAATAAACTTTTTTTCATATTTTTATATTAAATAATGGGTACAATTGCAACAAAGAGTAGTATATCAATCTAAAATTATTTACTTATCAATTTTTAGTGTTTTGTGTTTTTTTTACTACTGATTTTTATTGTTTTAAGCTGGGTTGTCAAATGTCCTACTGGGAAGCATTATAAAACTTCAAATGTCCTACTTTGACTATGTCAATATCTGGTTACCCTAGTTACAATGGGCATGTGCATTACGTGCGTGGATGATGGTAATTAAAGGTCGGAGTCCATATGATATAGTACTTAAGTCATTCTGATTTATAACTACAGTCTCTTTTAAAACATCTTATCTATTAAATTGTCAATGGAAAAGTTAATCAGAGAAGCACAAGATTTTAACACAAATTTTAAGTAAAAAAGGATTAAAACTGCATAAAGACATTGTCATTACATCTACACAGCGAAATATATTTAAAATTTTTCTTCTCAATACATTTGTTTATCAGACATAAAAAAATAATCAATATTTCTGGTTTTTTTTCTTTTCAAAATATTGATTCAGTGTATAAATAGCACACAAAATTTTATCAATTTTAAAAATATTGATTATTTGTTTGTCTGGATCATTCCTTCATTTTAGAATAAATAAATATATTCTAGTTAACATAAAATTCAAAAATTTAAAACAGATTTTGTAATTAAATATAGAAACTTTTATATTTAATTTTAAATTTCTACCTATTAGTATTTTCATAAGGAGTTCCTGCACAATCTCCATGGATCCAAATATTAAATTCCATTGGTTGACCAGGTTTTTTAGGCCTGCCATTGTCATATTCGGGTTTTGTTTGAGTACATGATGATGCAATATTTCCTCGGATACAAAATGCATCACCAACGGATTGGAAGGGACACAAATTATTGAGCTTACAAGTCTCTTCTGTAGTATTTTCAGCATTAGTGGTTCCATAATTCTTTCCGTTACGTGAAACTAATTCAACTCTTGCTAAATTGCCAGATTCAAAATCTGAAGTAAATAATAATCCTCCACATACAGTCCTCATTTTCTATATTTGTCATTTTCTCTTAACTCTGTAACAAAAATAATTTATAAATATTTATAAACTACTTAAACATTATTTATATAAAACCATAGCCAATCAAAAGACATAATTCTTAGCATTCATTTCATTTCAAACATTATATAAATTAGCAAACACTGAATAGCTTTTAATAAATTATCTAAAAAAACAAACTAAGTTAAATACTCTTATTAATAACAAATAAAAACATTAATTAAATTTGATATTTTTTTAAAATTTAAATAATCCTAACAAAATTGATTTATCATCTAAAAATAAATAGTAATAGACTTGTAATATTTTTTATTTATATTTAAACATAAATTTGGAAGATACAGTATGAATGAAGTGCACACACACACACACACCTTCTTTTAAACAAGTATTTAAATGGGAACAATAAGCCAAGTAACTACACGAAAAACACAAAAGTTCAAAACCTAACCTTTATAAACCAGCAAAAGTCGTGTTCTATATGAACAAATTTGGCAGGTCAAAAAGCACAAGAATCTTTGGGTAGTCTGCTCTGAATATGTTGGGTCCTATCCCTCACTACCAACTGTCCCATTGTGGGTTTAGCTAGGCCTACAATGGGACTGATTATAGGCTTTCTAGTATCCACAAAAAGTGTAAAAAACTTATGATGATTTATGAACATAATCTATGACAAAACAAAGTGCCATCTTGAATTTCTTTAACCAAGAGATATTTAGATATTTCCAGTTATACAGATATCTCAAAGCCTTTCATATTAGGAATTTTTAGTACGAAAGTATTGAGGAAAAAATTATCATAGAATACATCTGATTTAGACATGGAATAAGAGGTGTATCACTTGACTCTACATAACTTTCTAGAGAATGACTCCTTTGTTCTACTTTATCATCAACCACCACCCAGCATGTCATTACATCTTTTAATGAGTACAAAATAAACCTTTCATTGTACTATCTATATCTTCTTGTATTTATTTCCTTTCAGATTATTGTTTATTACAAATGTAAACTTACTTGCATTGTTCTTAATTGATGTATTTTTTGTGTGTGAAATACGTTTGAATATCTTCAATTGAGATGGAATGCATTATAATTTTTCCAATTGAAATTAATGGAATTTGCTTATTCATTTAATAACTTTACACTTTGTAACAGAATTTTCAGTAAGGATTTAATTCCTTATGTGAGGACCAGAAATTTTGTGTTTTAAACTAAAATTTCTTTTATAAACTTTGTAAAGACGGAACGAGAAAACAGAAAATTAAAAGAGAAAAAGGAAAAATAAAATCAATAAAAACTCGATTCCCACGAGTTGGGTTTCTTGTTGAGATGAGTACATTTCTGTGTCACGATTGTGTCACCCGTCCCCTCATTGGACCAAGAAGATCGTCATCGCTGACGAAATCGGGGAAAAGTTTGAAAAAGAAGACTTGATATAAAAGGGACAGGCACGATGAGTAAGAGTGTGGAAGTTATTATTGGTGTCTGTGTGCGCGCTCCGAACGTCTACCTCCCGCCGAGATTCTGTCAACCAACACCTCGTTCTCGCCTACAAGACTAGAACTGAACTCAACTGACCTCAATACATATTCAACTGGAAGGAACTATTGAACGTTTTTTGTGCCAGACTTGATCTCTTATATAACCTAAGGTATTTATCCTGCCCGCGCACTTTTGTACACTCTCTCTCTCCACATAAACAAAACACACACCCGGTCGTTAAAATGTAGACTAAAATTTGAATAATAACTGAACCCGACTCATGTAGTTTATGTTCACATTTTATTCGCTGATGTAAACCTAATTTAGATTATATATAAATAAACGGTTTTTATGTTTAAAACTTCTGGAGTGCAGTTTCTTCCGTTTTTCTCTCAGTTTCTCCATTCCGGGTCCAACCCTCATACCTATCTGCTCGCGCGAACTTGTGGTCTCTGTATCGACCGAAGGATACAGTGGTGTCATCCTGACGAGGTATCGAAGAGATACCGACCCTATGGTCACATTT